AGAGGACACAGAGGACAGAGTGAGGACAGAGATGGAGGAGGACTCACTGTGGAGACCCCTGAAGAGGGAACAGCTGAAAGAAGCAAAATAAGGAAGAAGAAATAAGAAGAGGAGGAGGAAAATGATGAGGAGGAGGAGGAAGAAGAAGAAATAATCAAGGTTCTGGGAGTCCTGGTCCTGAGGGATGCTCGAACGGAGACCCAGAACTCTGGTGGATTTTAGTAACACCTCTGGACTGAGGACATCTTGAGATCCACCAGGAGGTGCTGGAGAGAGGGAGGTCTGGGTTTCTGTAGTGGACAGAGGAGGAGGAAGGATGCATCAGAGGAGATCAGTGGATCATCTCTTCCTCCTCATCTTGTACGAGCTGCCTCCCTCAACAAAACCTGCAGAGCCGTGAAGCTGCTGGGTCAGTTCTAGAAGAACCCAATGAGGCGGGTCCAACAGAACCTGCCGAGTAACGACTTGTTGTCCACAGAACGCTCACCAGCCAGAAGACGTGTCGTCACGTCGCCTTTGTCTCTGAATCATATAAACACCAGCTGAGCGCCAGTTCTGCTCTAAGACCCGTGGACCGCTCTGTCTCAGGCTGTCTGGGTCAGATGAAGGTCACGACATGTTCAGGAGGACGACGGAGAGGAGAGCACCCAGAGGAGGATGGTGTGTGACGTTCTCGTCAGGTTTTACAACTTTAAAGATGTGTTTCTTCAAACCGTCCTGACTGAACATCCACAGCTAACACAACAAAACTGTTGACGTCCATCTTTAATAATCAGCTGTGAGAGTCGGCGCTGAGCGGACTCAGAACTTACGTCCACGATGAGGAAGTCCAGCCAGCACCAGTAGTTGGTGAAGTACTTCTTGAAGCCGTAGGCGAGCCACTTCAGCAACATCTCCAGGATGAAGATGTAGGTGAAAATCTTGTCTGCGAACTCTAGGATCACCTTCACCACCCTCCTCTTCTCGATGTAGATGTCCTCAAAGGCCTGCAGGGGGGGACGGAGAGGTCCGTCAGGAACTGGACCGCTTTGATTCATCGAGAACAACCAAGTCCAGTTAATGTTCTGTTGTTGCGTGCACGTTAGTCTACGTGGTTTGACATTCAACTGTGACTTAAATTATAAACTAGAGAAATTGTCTTTCCTGTGAAAATGAAGTGTGAACGCTTATTGCTGAAGAGCCTGATGAAAAACAGCTGAAATGAGCTAAAAAAACTGCTGATGGTAGCTGAAATGAAAGAACAAGCTTTAATTTGCAGAGGAAAGCAGAAAGAACCCATTGTTGCAGAATTAGGTTTAAATTAGCTGAAATTGGCACAATAATTAGTAAATTAGTTTAAAAAAAGCTGAAATTAACAAAATAAAGCAGATGAAAAGTAGCTGAAAAGGCAGAAAGAAGCTTAAAATTACCAGAAGGAAGCGAAAAGAGCTGAAATGAGCTTAAAAAATGTAGAATTAGCTGAAAAGGCTAAAATTGGCATAAAACAGCTAAATAGTAGCTGAAATAGAAAAAGCTGAAACTAGCAGAAAAAAGCAGAAAGGAGCATAACAAGCTGAAATTAGCAGAAAGAAGTTAGAAGAAGCACGAAAATGTTGTATAAGCAGAAAAAAATCTGAAAGGAGCACAAAGTAGTTGAAAAAACAGCTGAAATTAGCTGAAAAAAGTTTAAATTTGCAGCAGGGAGCTGAAAGAAGCTGAAACAGAACAAAAAGTGAAAGGAGCAGTAAAAGGTTGTAAACAGAGCTAAAGATATGAAGGAGGTAAAATGAGCTCAATTCATTTTCTAGGAGGAAAAAATGTCAGAAAAGGCTAAAATATTTCAACAAGCTAAAGTTGCACCAATACCAAAAGTCATAGCAGGATTGTCCTGAAAGAGCCGAACGTTTTTATTCATGATTTGATGAAATAAATAAAACTGTGGAACGAGATGCTGAAAAACGTAGGAAAGAAAAACTGATCAAAATAGAGTGACTGCTTCATAAACATTCAGATTATTATAATTTGGTATGCTGGATTATCATTGAACATTATAAACATTTTAAAGCAAGATTGATAATCGTCTGAATGTTTATGAAGCATTCTTACTGTTGTCATCCATTTTTCTTCTGTACGCTCTTCATCATCTTTCTCTTTCCACACTTTTTATGCAATTTTGAGCTTTTTCAGCTAATTCTACATTTTTAGCTCATTTCAGCTCTTTCTACTTCCTTCTGGAAGGTTAAGCTTCTTAAGCCAAATAAAAATAATCCCAGTAAAATAATTAATGTTCAGACAGTAAAATGAGGTGTGTGTGTCTGACCAGAGCTCCGGAGCTGAGGAGGATCATGAAGATGATGAAGGACTCAAACCAGCTGTGCTCCACGATCTGGTAGCAGGTCTTCCTGGTCCTCCACCACATCTGGCCGAAGCCCGCCGTGGTGTCGATGTCGCAGCACTGAAACCGGGCCACGCACACTGTGGGCGAGACAGACACGCTTCAATCAGAACCACAATCCTTCGAGCTCCATCTCGACTCGCTTCCATTTCCTGGTTGCTGCGAGAGAAAGGGAGCTTGGCTGCAAGGCACGCGGGCAGCACGCTCCGGTCCTCCTCGTGTGTGGAGTTGGTCTGGAGAGACGTGTTCTGCTGGAGTGAGAACGTGTTTTCTAACAGAACGTCTGACTCTGACAGATGTGGAGCTTCAGAGCGAGACACCGCGTCATGGAAAAAGCAGTGGATTCATAATTTTACTGTCAGCACGGAGGTGGAGGGCTCATGGTTTGGGCTCCTCGCTGTCATCCAGTTGAACTCTGTAAACAAAGGAGCTGTAGTTGTTCTGTAAACGTCAACAGCTGAAACATCTGAACCATCGTGTTGTTGGAGAGGACACGAGCTCTGAGGAGGAAACAATGTGCAAGTTTTAAAACGTCTTCTAGACTTTTCACTTCGACACACTCATCCAGCGTTCCTACAACCCGACATGCGCTGTTGACAGTATTGATCTAAAACTCGCAGAATGATTTGCTGATGAATCCTAAAAGCATCCGTTGGTCGGAGTGCATCATCCAGATGGGGAGAGCTGATAAGGCGGGGGTCAGATTTCAGCTCCGTTGGATAAATGTGTCCCTAAAAGCTTGTTTTTTTACAGAATTCAATCAAAGTGTGGACAAGAACGTCTTGGATGATGTGGAAATCACTCTGAATGGTGACTGAAGAGATTGACTGGATGAGTGAGTGGTGCTGACGAGCCCTGAAGGAAGACGAGACCGGATCGGTGGAACATTTAGATCATCGACCGGTGGACAAAAGTGATGAATTTGTTACTGAAATGAAGAACAATAATGGCCTGAGGACAGAGCCCTGAGGCATGCCATGCTTTATCTGTGTTAAATGTTACCGCTCACAGTTAGCACATTAGTTTACTTTTAAACTTAGATTAACATTACCCCATGAAGGATCCTTTTTAAACCAACAAACCACATTTTAATCAAAGTTCTAGTGGGTTCTACCAGAACCTCGATCTTAAAGTGGACCTAACTAAACTTAACTAGAACCAAAGTTTCTGGAACCAACAAACTGGTTTTACACGAGATTACGGTGTCAGACCAGACTTATTCAGATAAAAGTACAGTTTTCAACTGAAATCATGTAATTTTCTTTAAAGGAATGCAGATTAATATCATGATGATGAGAAGTAATTTGTGAATGACCCTCAGCTACTACCACACCACGCCTGATCTATAAAGTGAAGTGGATTGTGGTCGTTTGCGTGTTTCGTCAGGCCAGTCGGCCATGGGGTCGACTCCAAACGTACACCTCCAGGGATTACTTTGGGATTAACCTGTATGAATAAAGGTTGAATGAAACTTTAACGTCGGTCCAGTTTCTGGTGACGGACACACAAACGTCCCTGCGCTTTCTGAAACATTTCCACGTGTCCTCGGACGTCCTGAGTGCACCAAAACACGACAAACAGCAAAGAGAACCATCAAACACTTGAGTCAATAACCGTTTTAGAGCAACAAGAAGCTAAAATTAAGCTAATATTGCTACCTGTTAAATACTTTTTACAGTAGTCCCTCACTACTTCACAGTTCGTTTATCGCAAACTGACTCTGTCACGGTTTTTCAAAATAAGAGTGGACATGACACACAACTGGCTGATTGATGGATGAGTCGCACGATCGCCATGGAGTTTTTATATAAAATTAATTATTTAAAATTATTTAGCACCTGCTGCACATTTGTGCAGCCCACGCTGCAGGATAAACTTCCTGCTGCAGCTGATCAGCTGTTCTTCATGCAGGGCGGAGAAGTGGGCGTGGCCAAGAGCACTTGCTGGTGGCTGAGAGCAGAGGAGGCAGAGAGCTGAACTCATGACATGCTGTCTATTTTAGAGCGTTTAGAGTTTAGAAACATTGTTTAGAATATTGCAAGAGTGTGGGAAGGGGTTAAAACACCTTTATATACTGTATATATATATATATATATATATATATATATATATATTTACTGGTATATAAAATAAACTACTACTTACTACTTGTAGTACTATTCCTACTTAGTGTTTTTTCACTTATCGCGGGTCTTCAGGGTACGGATCCCTGTGATAAACGAGGGACTGCTTTATACCAATTCATTGTACTTGCAACGTTATATTCTACCATGTTGTTGTTTACTATATTTCTTCTGGACCTTGTGAATATTTTATTTCTTTTTCATGTTTTGGTACTTTATTTTGTACTTTTATTGCATGCTTTAGAATTTCTTTCTTTTTTTTTTTTTTTTTTTTTTGCGAGTCGAGTTGGTTCTTTTCATCCTGAACATTTAATTACATTGTTGACGTTGTGTTAATCTTTATATGACAATAAACAAATATAACATGACAACAAGCCTGACCAACAGCTCTCCTCCCTAGGGGGCGTTTACCTTCAGGACAAATTGAGGTCACCGATTGGTCAATTGCTTACGAGCCTACTGAATTGATTGACAGGTGGTGTTGAGGCTCTGACTCGTGCAAAATAAATCAGACTGGCCCATTTAAGACTCTGGTCATTTGTTCCATGTTTATTCAACATTTTGGTGAATCTAAAGTTTGAGAACTGTTTTCTTACAAAATCCTAATGATGGTTTCTTTATGTTTCAGGGATGCTCAGTTAAAATTTAAGGGTGCTTGAGCACCCCCACAAATAGGCTAAAACCACCACTGGATTGGTTTAAGTTGACCAAAAGAAAATTATATTTACAGGATTTTACTGTAAAAACATAATTAAGAACTTGAGATGAAACCTTAGACCTTCTGAAACCTAACCCGGGACAGAACCGCTCCACATGCTGTGGTGATTGATGGTTGTTTCCTCTGACAGACAGGAGGAAGATGATGATGATGGTTGTGTGTTGTTTCCTCTGACAGACAGGAGGAAGATGATGATGATGATTTAGCTGCTCTTCGCTCGTCTGATTGCATCGTCAGCCTGCCTCGTTAATTAGAGCTCTGATTACCCTGGCTTTCTGTTTCCATGGCGACTAACGGGCTCCTGGCCGACCTGTCTGTTGGGTAATCCCACAGTAATGTGACTCTGTCAGCCCCCCTCGCTGAGTTCTTCTGGGGGGGTTGTGTGTGAGGAAAGCCCTCGGCCCGGACTGAAAGAAGAACAATATTGAGCGCGGCTCTAAAGGCCTCGTTAGATCATCTGTTGGTCGACTGGACGCCTCCTTCAGATGCACTTTCTGCTGCGAGAAGCATCGATCTGTTATTGAACGCAGCTCAAAGTGCTGCGGACTGACGACCCCCCCCATCAGGAGACCGCGCTGTGCCGACACATGAACGCACCGTGTTCAACACACAGCAAACTGTGCAGACGATGCTTTCACGGTTTCATGCACATAAAACGTTTTCATGAAGGAAGCTGCAGTTTCCACCAGCAGGAAGAAGAAGTTCTGTCAGAAGTTTTCAGAGGAGCTCCAGTCCAGAGCTTCAAGAAAATAAAGATGGACGCCGAACCTCCACGAGGGAAACCATAACATCTAAAATGGTAAAGGAGTTTTCTTGCACCGGTGTAGACAGTTAACCTTCTGTCTGTCACGTTCAATTATCAATAAAACACAGAACAAGGACCAAACCCGAGACTTTCATCTGTCACTTCTTTCTCCTGCAGTTTTACTCTGTTCTCATGTTGGTGTCAGCTGACTGCTGTCCCACCTTCATCTACCGTTTCCTCCTCATCAACCGTCCCATCATGGAGGCAAGAGGTAAGGAGGTAATCAGGTCTCTCTAGTAAATGAGTCCTCAAGGCTCAATGGGATTTACCTGTCTAAATAAAGGTTGAATGAAAAAAAGAGGTCCAGGAGAGAAACCCAGAAACCCACAACTCAGTCTCTCCAGAGACACTGTCCACATGCTGTAGTGGTGGTGGTGGTGGTGGTGGTGGTGGTGGTGTGGGGGACATGGTTTTGCACACCAATGAGGACCTTCATTAACTTTTATTTACCCTTTATTAACATTTAAGAACTCAATGAGACTAACTACACTGGATGCTAAGGATTATTGTGCTGCACTTTTCTTAGACCTGTCTAAAGATTCTGACACTGTGGATCAGAACATCTTGCGTCATAAACTCTCAGAAATTGGTTTCTCAGATCACACCATTGGTTGGTTCTCTAACTATCTCTCAGACCAGAGGCAATGTGTTCAACATAATGGTACTTCCTCCAGTTATTTAACAGTCAACAATGGTGTACCACAAGGCTCAGTCTTAGGACCCACCCTCTTTACAATCTACATACATAATGTAGGTAAAAACATCCCTAATGCATCCATACATTTCTATGCTGATGACACAGTTGTTTATTGTCGAGCTAAAACTGTTGCTAAGGCTTTCCAGCTTTTGAAATCTGCATTCAACATCATCCAGACTGATTTGTTCCGCCTCATACTTGTCTTAAATGCTGATAAAACCAAAGGGATGTTTTTTTCAAATAGGAAGTTGGTCCCAGCAGTTCTTCCTCTGATTTTATCCTCAAATGGTGTCCCCATTGAGTTTGTTGATTCCTATAAATATTTGGGTATCTTGGTCGACTCACATCTCTCTTTTAAGCTCCATGTGGAAAACTTGGTAAAGAAACTGAAAGTTAAACTGGGTTTCTTTTTCAGAAACAGATCCTGTCTAACTCTGAATGTTAGGAAACACCTTGTATTTGTGACTTTCCTTCCCTCCATTGATTACGGTGACATTATTTACATGAACACTCCTACAAGAACCCTGCAGATGTTGGATGCTGCAGATGTTGGATGCTGTCTATCATGGTGCACTAAGATTCATAACTGGCTGTAACTACCGTACCCACCACTGCACCCAGTATTCACTGGTTAACTGGTCACCATTAACTTCACACAGACTCTCTCACTGGTACATTTTCATCTTTAAATCACTTCCTGGTCTGCTGCCTTCATACATCTCCTCCTACATGTCTCT